GAAAGGGACCTTGGAGGTCTTCTAATCCAGCCCCCTGCTCTGGCAGGAGATCCTATACCATTTCAGAGAAGTGGCTGTCCAATCTCTTCTTAAGAATCTCCAGTGTTGAAGCACCCAAGCCTCCAGTGGCAAGCAGTTCCACTGGTTAATTGTCCTCACTATTAGGAAGTTTCTCCTGAGTTCCAGGTTGCTTCTCTCCTTGATTAGTTTCCAGCCGCTGTTTCTTGTCCTGCCTTCGGGTGCTTTGGGGTATAGGTGGACACCCCCTCTTCTTTTTAGCAGCCCCTCAAATACTGGAAGACTGCTATCGCGTCCCCTCTAGTTTTCACTTTAGATTAGACGTACCCAAATCCTGCAGCCGTTCTTCATATGTTTTACGGAGTCCTTCAAGGGGTTTATTTATTTTATCTTAACTGCTCTTCGGGGAGTGGTCAGCAACTGAAAGTCCTTTGTAGGGATCTTGTGACCCTGAGCGATCAAACAGAATTCAGGCCAGATTTTCAGACACGGTCCTTGGTTATATTGCCTAAACAAGCCACATATTTTTCAAGTGATCTCACCAAAGGGTTTTTAATCTAGCTTTATCCTAATAAAATGGTTTCAGCGGCCAGCTTTGAAGACTGTTTTTGAGGCGATGAATGCCTTTGCAAAACTCCGCTTGTAGCCCACAAATGCCTTCTCTGGGCTGGCCTACAAATTTAGGAGGTGTCACATCCAGCAACCTGCCAGGCTAGGAAATGATGGCTTGGAGAGAACCTGGCCCTGTTTTAATATCTTTTCTGGCTCCTGCTGAAAGTCGTTGCTTTATTTTGCTTTTCCTCTCTTTAAGGATTGTCTTCTTGTGCGTTTTTTTTTCCAGATCTGTGAGATGGTGAGAATTTCCGTTAACTCCAAACTGCAGTCCCACCTTCAGTCGTTGCCAAGTAAGAACAAAATCCTTGGAGCATTGATGGACCCTCCAAAGCTTTCTCCATCAGAAGGACAAGAGCATCCTATGAGGAAACCAACAAGCTTTGTTTGCATCTCAGTCTTTCTGCCTAGCTGGCCTGCAGCTTCTGGTCTCTCTTTTGTCCTAGTATTGGATCCCTTATTATAGAACCACAGAGTTGGAAGCTGCCTTGGAGGTCTCCTAGGCCAATATCCTGCTCTATACCAGTGGTGGATAACCTTTTTGGGGTTCCTGTGCCAAAAATTGGGCACGCTTGCATGCTCATTCTTTCATGCCAGCACCCAGAAGGCAATACATGCCCCACCACCCCCCACCCCCTACACATGCGGTGGGTTTGAGGCTTTCTTTGAACTCCTAGAGGCTTGAGGAAGGCTTCCGCAGGCTTCCGCAGGCTTTGCAGGCTGAAAACTAGGCCTGTTTTGTCACTTCCGGTATTTCCGGAAAAACAGGAAGTGACAAAACGGGGCTAGTTTTCAGCCTGCAAATCCTGCAGAAGCCTCTGGGAGGCCGAAAAAGGCCTCAAACCCACAGAAAATCAGCTGTGAGGCTCACACATGCACAGTGAGGTAAGTTTGCCTGCAGCTCGCATGCTGGCACAAATGGCCCTGCATGCCACCTGTAGCACGCGTGCCATAGGTTCGCCATCCCTGCCCTATACCATCCTGAACAAACGGTTGTCCTGTCTTCTTAAAAACCTCTAGTGATGGGGCACCCACAACTTCTAGAGGCAACTTCTGTTCCACAGGTTCATTGTTCTCATTGTTGGAAAATGGCTCCTTGGTTCCAGGTTGGTTCTCTCCTTGATTAGTTTCCATCTGTTACTTCTTGTCCTTCCCTCTGAGTCTGGAGGCTAAACCAAACTATCAACCTCCCAAAGTTGCTTTTTCCAAGAGACAACTGGACTTTCTGGTTTTTCTTCTTTGAAGACATTTCACTTCTCATCCAAGAAGCTTCTTCAGCTTTCGGTTCTTGGATGAGAAATGAAATGTCTTCAAAGAAGAAAAACCAGAAAGTCCAGTTGCCTCTTGGAAAAAGCACCTTTGGGACAACCATGATGTGGATGGCTGAGAACCTCCATGAACTGTGAACGTAGATGGACGTAGATATGACTAGTCTAACCAAGAGAAGGACTAGGGGTGGTATGATAATCTTCCAGTATTGAGGGACTCCAACAGAGAAGACGGAGTCAAGTTATTCTCCAAAGCACCTCATGGCAGGAGAAGAAGCAATGGGTGGACGCTAATCAAGGAGAGAAGCAACCTGCAACTAAGGAGAAATTTCCTGACAGTGAAAACAATTAACTAGCGGAACAGCTTGACTCCAGAAGTTGTAAATGCTCCAACACTGGAGGTTTTCAAGAAGAGACTGGACAACTATTTGTCTGGAATGGCCTAGGGTCTCCTACTTGATGGATTTCAAAGACCAGTCATTGTGCAGGGTGCCAAGATGTCTGACTGCCTGGGCAGTGTTTATTCTTTTTATATGTTTTGTTTACAAGTAGCAAAAGGCAACATAGATACAGCATTAGGATTGGTGAATCCCCTCACCAATCCTTAAGAATAGTGGTGATGTTAGTAAGGTGAGATCATTGTACCAAGTGCGGGACTTATCAGCCTGGGACAAGGAGTGAGATCATGCAAAGAGGCCCGTGTATATTAGGCACAGCAGTGTGCTGCATGCGCCTCTACAGGATCTCTACTGCTACTACACTACTCTGGGCAGGGGGTTGGACTAGAAGACCATCAGGGTCCCTTCCAGCCCTAGGATTCTAAGATTATATGATTCTCCATCATCCTTGAGACTGTCCTGCAGAAGGGACCAAGTTCCTTGATGTCATTCCTATGTTGTCTTTCCCACCCAGTTACAGCCAATATCGACCACACATCAAGCATCGATTATTCTCTGGTTGGGCCACCGGTTGCGACAAGTCAGTGTGTAGACCTGGACCTCAAGGTAAGCTTCAACAAGAAAGCTTGGAAGATGATGGGACTGCAGAAGGAAACCTCCCAGGTGATAGAGTTTGCCTGTCCTTCTTCCCTCCTTCCCTCCCACTTCTCAGTTATCTGGAGGTCTCAGTCTCTTTTTACCAATACAGGATACTGTTGTGCCATTTTGGGAGTTACCCTACAGTTTTTCTTTGCTTCTCGCTTCAAAATGAGGAGATACCAGTTTCCTGACTTGGAGGTGGGTGGACATGTTAGACCCCAGAAGAGACTTCTGTACTATTTGCCTCTTAGAGAGCCAGTCTGATGTCATGCTCAAGGCACCAAGCTAGAAAACGGGAGTATGGGAGTGCCAGTCCCATGTTACGCATGAAATCCAGCTGGGTGATTTTGAGTCAACTGCCAGGAGATGGTGAATTCTAGTGCTGCCTTAGGCAGGAAATCCATCTTCAAAAAAGGGGGGGGGAAAACAGACCCGGGAAACTACAGACCAATCAGCCTAACATCAATACCCGGGAAGATACTGGAAAAGATAATTAAAAAAACACAGATCTGCCAACATCTAGAAACAAGTAAAGTAATAACTAGCAGTCAGCATGGGTTTGTTAAAAACAGATCATGCCAAACCAATCTTATTTCATTCTTCAACACAGTGACTAAATTAGTAGACCAGCAAAATACTGTGGACAAAATATATTTAGATTTCAGCAAGGCATTCGACAAAGTAGACCACAACCTACTTCTTGGTAAGCAAGAAAAAAGTGGGATATATAGCACCACCACGAGATGGATTTGCAACTGGCTGGCAAACCGTACTCAATGAGTAATCCTTAATGGGTCTAAGTCTGCATGGAGGGAAGGAAGCAGTGGGGTGCCACAAGGTTCCGTCTTAGGCCCAGGACTCTTCAACATCTTCATTAACGAATTAGATGAGGAAATAGAAGGGGAACTTACCAAATTTGCAGATGATACTAAGCTGGCAGGAATAGCTGACACCCAAGAAGATAGGCTCAAAATCCAGAGGGATCTTGACAGACTACAACACTGGGCTGTATCTAATAAAATGAAATTCAATGTAGAGAAAAGTAAAGTCCTACACTTAGGCAAGAAAAACCCAAAGGACACATATAGACTGGGTGAAACCAGGCTCAATAGCAGTAACTGTGAGATGGATCTTGGAGTCTTAGTGGACAACCAGCTAAATAGGAGCCAGCCGTGTGCAGCAGCAGCCAAAAAAGCTAACGCAATCCTAAGTTGTATTAACAGAGGGATACAGTCAAGATCAAGGGAGGTACTAATACCACTCTATAAAGCCTTAGTAAGACCACACCTAGAGTACTGCATCCAGTTTTGGTCCCCACATTATAAAAAAGATGTTGAGACTCTAGGAAAAGTACAGAGAAGACCAACCAGGATGATGAGGGGACTGGAGGCTAAAACATACAACGAACGTTTGCAGGAACTGGGCCTGGCTAGTCTAGTGAAGAGAAGGACCAGGGGAGACAGGAGAGCAGTCTTCCAATATTTGAGGGGCTGCCCCAGAGTGGAGGAGGAAGGGGTCAAGCTATTTTCTAAAGCTCCTGAATGCCAGACAAGGAATAATGGATGGAAACTGAACGAGAGATTCAACCTGGAAATAAGGAGAAACTTTCTGACAGTGAGAACAATCAACCCATGGAACAGAAGTTGCCTTCGGAAGTTGTGGGAGCCCTATCACTTGATACATTCAAGAAGAGACTGGACTGCCATTTATCAGAAATGGTGTAGGGTCTCCCACTTGGGTGGGGGGTTGGACTAGATGACCTACAAGGTCCCTTCCAACTCTGATTATCTGTTAAATCCAGCTGAGTGATTCTGAGCCAATTCTCAGAAGACAGTGAGTTTACCATCTCCTAATGATTGGCCTAAGGTCACCCAGTTGACTTTCATGTCTAAGGCGGGACTAGAACTCACCGTCTCCTGTTGATTGGCCCAAAGTCACCCAGCTGCCTTTCATGCCTAAGGCGGGACTAGAACTCACCGTCTCCTGTTGATTGGCCCAAAGTCACCCAGCTGGCTTTCATGCCTAAGGCGGGACTAGAACTCACCGTCTCCTTGTGATTGGCCCAAAGTCACTCAGCTGGATTTCATGCCTAAGGCAGGACTAGAACTCACCGTCTCCTGTTGATTGGCCCAAAGTCACCCAGCTGGCTTTCATGCCTAAGACAGGACTAGAACTCACCATCTCCTGGTTTCTAGCCTGGTGCTTGAATCACCAAATCAAACTAGCTCTCTGACTCTAATCTCCACAGGGAAGATATTCCCCAGAGCTGGGGACACTACCAAAAAGGCCCGTCTTCTGGTCCTCACCAGCCGATTCTCTTGGGTTGGCGGGATCTTGCCATATGCCCAATCGGCTGGATCGAAGTGGAGGGACAGTCCCTCAGGTAGCCTCCTCCCTTTTCACATCTCCCTAACTTCTTTCATTCACCAGGGCGAATTCTTCTCCACCGCCCATCGTTCCCCTGCTCCTTTCCCAGCGCCTCCTCTCTCTTTTCCGCTGGATCCCAACCGCATGGTCCAGTTCGGGATTTCCACTTACTTCTTCAACACAGCTGGTGACGTCTACTACAAATCGGGATCCCTGACCTTCTGGATCGTGGATGAGATGGTGAGACTGAGGAGATTGTGAAGCCCTCACCAGAAGCCTCTGGAATGTCTAAACCTGCTTTCTCCCACCCGAGCCTATGTATAAACAGGAAGGGGGAGAGGATAGCCGAGCTCCAGAACCCCATAACTACATTCCCCATTAATTTTCAAAGCGGTAACTTTATTCAACCTGGCAGCAGTGGTTTCTGCTGTGAGGGTTGGAAGCCACCAATGAAGGTTCTTCAAGAAATCCAGATGTGCCGGTGTAGCTATAGGAATGGGGAAGGATGGATTCCCAACGCCCCTGGATTCCAACAGGACCTTCAGCGTTTATTTTAACTGGTCCGGAAATCTATTTCTCTTAAGCCGGAAGGTGTAACTTGGCTGGTTGTTGGCTTTAGGAGACCCTGAGATCTCACCGTCCTCTGAGAGGACAGACAGCCTGTGAAACGGCCAGCCCTGGGCTGTTCTTACCCGTGTGTGTGTGTGTGTGTGTGTGTGTGTGTGTGTGTATTTAGGAGAGGATCTGAGTGTGAGACAGAAAGAAAGAGACAGAAAGGAAGGGAGGGAGGGAGGGAAGAAGTGAAGATGGAGAGAGAGGGATGAAGGAGCGATGGAAAAAAGTAAGGGAGGAAAGAAGGGAGGGAGGAAAGAAGGGAGGGAGAGGAAGGGGAAGGAAAGAAGAAACAAGGAAGGGAGGGAGAGATGAGAGGGAAGAATGGATGGATGGATAGATGGATGGATGGGTGGATGGGTGGGATTCAAATTTTTTAACAACCGGTTCTGTGGGAGTGGCTTAGTTGGTGGGCGTGGCTTGGTGGTCATGTTATTGGCTGGGCATGGCCAACTCAATATCACTCACATCAAGGCACGCATCTCCTCGCCTGGCCTCTCATGACTGTGGGGATGCTGCAATAGTCATAAGTGTGAAAAATGGTCATAAGTCACTTTGTTCAGTGCCATTGTAACTTTGAATGGTCCCTCCACACAAGCAAAGTACCAGCAAAGGAGGGGGAAAAAAACTCCAGAGAAGTTCCAGAGACAGGAAGTCTAGTCCTGCCAAGAACGTAATAAGGGTTAACGGAGAGGCAGTTTCTGTAAGCAACACCAGAATGTTTCCTTCCTGCCTTCCTTACAGGATTAGCCCAGTAATTTCTTCCAACAACCAGTTCTTCCAACTGCTTAGAATGTTAACAACCGCTTCTAGCGAATAGGTGCAAACTGGTAGAATCCCACCCCTGGATGGATGGATGGATTGGAGAGAGATATGTTTTTCTGTGGAAATAAAGCAAGTCTGATGCAGCCTAAAGTAGATAGGAAAAGATGCTGCTCTCCAAAAATAACACTTACGAGGAGGAGGAGTTGTTGGAGGAGGAAGAGGAGGAGTTGGTAGAGTAGCAACGGAGAAGAGTGGTGTCATGATTACCAGCCTTTGAATGTTTTTGTGGGTGTATTACCTGTGTGGTTGTGTTGGCTCTCTTGGGTTTTGGAGTCCACTAACTTGGAAAACGGAAGCTTCTCCACCCTCCAGGTCCTGGCTGTCCCAAAGTGCTTTTCCTCCAAGGGGCAACTGGACTTCCTTGGTTTTTCCTTGAAGACGTTTCACTTCCCCTCCGAGAAGCTCCTTCACCTCCTCCCTGCTCCTCTACCCTGCTTTTGCACCTGCTGCTCGCTCACCTCCGACCGTCTTTCCCACCTGCAGGTTCCTCCGGAGGTTAAGATCCGGCTGAACACCTCCTCCTTCCAGCCCTTCATCCCGCAGGTCAGCACCTCTCCCTCGCGAAGCCCAGGCTCCGAAGCGAAGGGAAGGGAGGAGGGGGGGCCACATTGTGTGGGGAGCATCTGGAAGTATAGGTGGGGAGGGGGAGGGGGGCATCTGGAAGCTTCTGCATCCTCCCGGATTGTGAAGTCCTCAAAGCAGAGAAGGACCCTGGGATCAGGCTGCAAGTGCAGGAGAAGACAGAAGTCGGGTGAGGATCTCCTAGCACCGTTTTTGAAAGCTTTTAAAGGTTTCCTCCTCTCACTTCAGCTTTTATAATGATGTTACCTCTTCCTCTGCTCCTCCTCCTCCCCCTCTCTGTAAACCCCATGCTCTTCCAGCACTGATAGTGTCCCCTAGACAAATTCCTTGTGTGTCCAATCACACCACCAACTATTCTATTCTATTCTATTCTATTCTATTCTATTCTATTCTATTCTATTCTATTCTATTCTATTCTATTCCCTTCCATTCCATTCCATTCCATTCCATTCCATTCTATTGTTTTTTATTCTATTTTCTATTTTGTTCTCTATTTTATTCTATTCTCTATTTTATTCTCTCTTTTCTATTCTATTCAATTCTATTCCTATTTCTAGTCTATTCTCTTTTCTGTTCTATTCTATTCTATTCTCTATTCTATTCTTTCCAATATCTATTCTATTCTATTCTATTCTATTCTATTCTATTCTATTCTATTCTATTCTATTCTATTCTATTCTATTCTATTCTATTCTATTCATTCTTATTCTATTCTATTTTATATTCTGCTCTATATTCTATTCTATTAAATTCTATTCTTCTATTTTCTATTCTATTCTATTCATTTCATTTCATTTCTATTCATTTCTATTCTATTCTATTTTCTATTCTGTTCTATTCTATTCTCTATTCTATTCTATTCTCTATTTTATTATCTCTTTTCTATTCTATTCAATTCTATTCCTATTATCTAGTCTATTCTTTTTTCTATTCTATTCTATTCTATTCTATTCTATTCTATTCTATTCAATTCATTCTTATTCTATTCTATTGTATATTTTATATTCTTCTCTATATTCTATTCTATTCTATTCTATTCTATTCTATTTTATTCTATTTTCTATTCTGTTCTGTTCTATTCTGTTCTGTTCTGTTCTATTCTATTCTATTCTATTCTATTCTATTCTATTCTATTCTATTCTATTCTATTCTATTCTATTCTATTCATACTTATTCTATTCTATTCTATTTTATATTCTTCTCTATATTCTATTGTATTTAATTCTATTCAATTCTATTTTCTATTCTATTCTATTCTATTCTATTCTATTCTATTCTATTCTATTCTATTCTATTCATTTGGTAATGAAATGCTTGCCAAAAAAGCAACCAAAGCTCACAGAGCATTACAGAGCCAATCATGCCCTTTTCTCTTCTTTCACCTCTTAGCTGATCATGGGAGCCTTTTTTTTTTACTACCGGTTCAATCAAACCGGTCCAAACCAGTAGCATATTACCACTGGTTCCTTTGTTTTGCTGGACTGTGGGCAGCCAGAGGCTGTCGTGTGTGTGTGTGCATGCGTACACTTTACTCTGGGACTTGCCAAGGACATGGGAGCATTGGGGGGGAATTTTAGAGCATGAAAGGGGAATTCGAACTCTCCGCTGGCTCTGTGGCCATTGTGCCTTGACCCAGGGTCCTCACAGCAGGTCTTCAAGGAGAGAAGATGACCATCTCTGGAAATGTGACTTTCTCCTTTCTGTCCCCAGTTGAAGAAGCTCTACCCCAACATGGCCATGAAGCTGAAGGTCTCCCCTTCTTCGGTGCCATCTCTGAGCATCTCCCCCGAAACCCTCTCGCTGACCCCTTCAGTCGACATCCAGGCCTTTGCGGTTCTCCCAGATTCTTCCCTGGCACCTCTCTTTGTGATTGGAGCGGTAAGCGATCTCTCCATTTTTAGGGTCCATAGTGGACAACCCAGACATTGTGCAAGGCCTTTTACGGATCATCCTTGACTTACAACCATGGAGCAACTGTTTGAAGTCACCAAGGTCCTGAAAAAAGGGACTTACGACAGTTTTTCACGCAACCCTCACGGTCACGTGATCAAAATTCAGGCCCTCGGCAACCGGCATGACAGTTTCAGTGTCCCGGGATCCCCTTTTGTGACCTTCTGATGAACAAAGTAAACGGGGAAGCCAGGATCACTTCACAAGCGTGTTACTATCCTGACACCTGCAGATAACAGATAATTAGAGTTGAAAGGGACCTTTTTGGTCATCTAGACCAACCCCCACCCAAGCAGGAGACCCTATGCACCATTTCTGACCGATGGCAGTCCAGTCTCTTCCTGAAAGTCTCCAGGTATGAAGCTCCCACAACTTCCAAAGGCAACTTCTGTTCCATGGGTTGATTGTTCTCCCTGTCAGAAAGTTTCTCCTTATTTCCAGGTTTGAATCTCTCCTTGTTCAGTTTCCATCCACTATTCCTTGTCTGGCCTTTGGGGGCTTTAGAAAATAGTTCGACCCCCTTTCTCCTCTCTGGGGCAGCCCCTCAAATATTGGAAGGCTGCCATCCTGTCTCCCCTGGTCCTTCTCTTCCCTAGACTATCCAGGCCCAGTTCCTGCAACCGTTCTTCATGTGTGACTGGATGGAGGCAAGAAAGATGGTAAAATGGGATAAAATGGGAGAGGGAAAGGCTAAACAGGGAAAATTAACTGAATGGGATAAGAGGAAAGGTAACTCCATTGGAAAACAGGAAAGGCAAAGCTAAAACTGAAAAACAGGGAAATTCTATTGGTCTAAGAAGCCATAAAAAAAACAGGCCCAGAACTTAAAACAGGAAACTGAGCATATCTAATTAACTGGTGAATATTAACTAAGACACCTTGCGTAAATAATTTCTTACTTTTAATGTACATGGGATGTATGGTTTAGTATGTAGTAGGATGCAGCTGGGAAGAGAGTAACCTCATAGTACGTCAGCCAATGGGGAACGAGGAGGGATGTGGCAGCCAGAACAGGGTTGTATTAAGAAGGGAGTATTTTGGGTTGGAGACCTGGAGAGAACCATACTTTGTTCTCCCCATTTGTTCCAATAAATGAAACAAGAAAGGCCTTCACTGACTCTTGGCTAGTTATTGGTCAGGCAAGCTGGTCATGAAGGAAAGTAGCCAGGAGCATGTAACAAACAATAATTGCAAAAACAAATGTAAAATGTATCATATGACTGTTGTGGCTTGCCAGCAGGCAACAGATCTGGACAGTGAGGAGGTTGGGGAGAAACCTGGGCCAGTCTGGGGGAGCCTCTGATGAGGGCTCTGCATCGGAGGCAGAGATGGGACCAAGGCCATCCGACAGTTATCCGCTGCCTTTGGAGTCAGAGATCAGTGGGGAAGAAGAACAGCTGGAGCCTGTTCCCAGTGTACGCATGCACAGAGCTGCCAGAAGAAGGGATAGCTAAGGAACAAGGGTTGACTTGGGAGTAAAGCCACAGGTGGACGGTGAATGGCCCCTCCCAGAGGGAATAAAAGAGGAGCGAAAGGGGGAGTGGGGTTTGCAGGGAGAAGGACTGTGGTGTTCTCTAAGGTTGATAGACAGATATTTGTTGCCCAACTAGGTAACATCATCAATGCTAGGTAACATCATCAAAGGGTCAGGTTTGCACTCTCTACCAGTTGTTGTGGCTCGAAAGCAGACATCAGAGCTGGCAGCAGACTCAGACAGTGAGGAGGTTGGGGAGGAACCTGGGCCAGTCCTGGAGTCTGGGGAAGGCTCGGGCGAGGGCTCTGCGTCAGAGGCAGAGATGGGGCCAGGGCCGTCCGACAGATATCAGCTGCTTTCAGAGTCAGAGATCAGTGAGGAAGAAGAAAAGCTGGAGCCTGTTCCCAATGTGCGCATGCACAGAGCTGCCAGGAGAAGGCTAAGGAACAAGGGCCGACTCGGTACTAAAGGCTCAGCTGGATGGTGAATGGCCCCTCCATAGGGAATAAAGAGGAGCAAAAGGGGAGTGGGGTTTGCAGGGGACAATTAAGTTCAATTCATGAGGGTGAAGATCTGTTCCTGACTCCTTGCCAAGTCATTGCTGCTACAGTGTGACGTTTGGAAGCTATCGGCCTGGCAATTCTCCTAGTAGCCTGATCAAGATCTGTAGTTGTGAAATCTCTTGAGGGTTGATTGCTGGGACTTTGCTGGAGAGAAATTCCCTTGAACCTAAATAAAAAGGGGTTTTATCAGGACGAAGAGTCGGCTTCATGATCTTGGGAAGATCTAGGTCAGAACAGTGACAATCTGCTGAATAATTGGCACAACTCAATGACCGTAATTCTGGACTTAGTTACAGTCAGTTGAAGATAACCAGAATGGACATATTTGCTAAAGATCTGTGTTTTTCCTTCTTCTCGTTTTAGACCAGCCCAGTTTCTGCCAAAATTGATGTCAATTCTACCAGGATCTTTGGAAACCTGAAGCTTGGCAGGTGAGTCACAGCAGGATAGGACCTGACGCTGACTGAATATGGAAATACAGGTAGTCCTCGACTTACAACATTTGTTTAGTGACCGTTGGCAATTACAATGGCACTGAAAAAGTGACTTAAGGCCATTTTTCACACTTATGACACTGGCAACATCCCAGTGGCCCTGTGATCAAAATTGGAACGCTTGGGAACTGACTCACATTTATGACCATTGCTATGTCCAAGGGTCATGTGATTTTGGGACCTTCTGACAAGCCAAGACAATGGAGGAGCCCGATTCACCTAACGACTAAGTGGCTAACTTAAACCACTGCAATGATTCATTTAACAGAGTTTTTCTGACCGCATACATCTGAATTTGTAAAGGGTGGTGAACAGTGTCGTACTTGCTCACTGACAACGCAACGGTGATGTGCTTTCTAACATTTTTGCCATAGGTTAAAATCATTATAAATAAAAATCCATTGATAAATAAATAATGTGCTTTGTGTATAAATAAGTAAATAAGTCATTTAACAATCGTGACAAGAAAAGTTGCAAAAATGGGACAAAAAGTCACTCAATAACTTTCTTCCTTAACGATGGAAGTTTTGGACTCAAACTGTGGTTCTACGTCGAGGCGTACCTTGCAACTACTTATAACCGGGATGACAAACCTATGGCACATGTGCCAGAAGTGGCACGCAATCTCTGCTGGCATGCGAGCCATCACCCTGGATCAGGTCCACTACGCATACGCATGCGCCTCCCGCTAGCCAGCTGATTGTTGGGTATCTGCCGTGCATGTGTGGGGGCGTGGTATGCGCAGGAGACACACATGCATGCACACAGGCACAGGATATGTGGGGGGGGGGTCACGCACGCATGTGCAGAGGTGCATGGCAGGAGGGGGAGTTCAGTGAGATTTGAACTACCAAGTTTCAGTCAGCCAGCAGTCAGCAGAAGTTGCCTTAACCTTAGCAAAGGAAACTATTGCTTCAACTAAGTGGAGTCGAGAGTCTCTCTTTCCTAAGGACCTGATCTGGGGCAGGCCTGACACTTAGGCTAGATCTTTAGCTTGTGTGTCAGCTTTCTTATAAGGCTTTCAACACCTTATTCTGTCTGTCTCTCCTGTAGGTTGAAGTTCTCTTTAAAGCACTCAGATGTTGGGTTCTTCACGGTAAGATGGATGGGTTTTTTTTTTTTTTGCCTGAAATGTCATGCCCCTCCTCCTTTCTCAGTCTTCTTGGGGTCCCAGCCAGAAGCTCAGTTCACCTTGGGGTCCTCCTGTCTTCTCCTCTTGGGTTAGGTCCTTCTCCTCCAGACCTTCCCCAAAGATTTGAGGATGGACTGCAATGTTCCCTCAGCCCTTCTTCTGGTGGGCCCAGGGTGGGCAACTGAGCCAGAAGGATGGCGCCCTTTTGGTCTGCAAGCCAAGACAGGGGTAGCCCTAAGGATCTAGGATGTCCCATCGAAGGAGGGGGGGCACGAACCAATCAAGTTCATTTGGCTTTCTGATTCTGGTGTCGGTTCCAGATCCATCTTGAATCAGATTTGGGGCTGCCCCAAGGGAGTATGGGTAACCATGAGAATGAAAGTAAAGTGAGAAGGGAGGATAGCCAAGGGTGGGATTCAGCCAGTTCAGGCCAGTTCGAGCGAACCGGATGTTAAATTTACATCTGGTTCGCAGAACCGGTGGTTGAACCAACTGGCCGGCCCCGCCCACCACGCCAGGAGTCTCCACACGGCCCATTTTGGATGCAGGTAAGTGCAGGGTCCACACGGAAGCTCTGGGAGGGTGAAAACTGGGCCGAACTGGAAGTACTGGAAGTCTGGAAATGGGCCTGTTTCCGGCTTCCAGAGGCCCTCCAGAGCCCGGGGGAGGCCATTTTCAACCTCCCAGAGGCCTGAGGGAAGCCTCCAGATTCTGGGGAAGGCAAAAAACAGCCAAATCGGAAGTTCCGGAAGTCCAGAAATGGGCCTGTTTCCAGCTTCCAGAGGCCCTCCAGAGCCCGGGGGAGGCTATTTTCACCCTCCCAGAGGCCTGAGGGAAGCCTCCGGATTCTGGGGAAGGCAAAAAAACAGCCGAATCGGAAGTTCCGGAAGTCCGGAAATGGGTCTGTTTACAGCTTCCGGAGGGCCTCCAGAGCCCAGGGGAGCCCATTTTCACCCTCTCAGAGGCCCCGGGGAAGCCTCTGGACTTTGGGAAAGGCAAAAAAAAAAACCCGGCCCTCCCGGAAGTTCCTGTAGGCCATGCCCCCCATGGCCATGCCCACTCAGCAACTGGGCAGGGAACCAGTTGCTGGTATTTTGGAATCCCACTCCTGAGGATAGCCACAGCAACATTCTTTTGCCAGAACTGAAGGCCCAGTTGCTGGAGTTTGGAGGGGAGTGACTGGACTTTGCAGGAGTTCAGAATGGAGGTGGATTGGAGAGCTGGACTTGTCAGTC